GTTTTGTGATCATTACAGAGCACACTACAATCCTAACAAGATGCCCACACTATTGAGACTTGCTGCCACTTTAGTTTTAATTTCAAGTATACAACTGATCCTCTTTGATAGAACAGCAGGTTCAAAACTTGTTCTTCATGTCCTGCTGTTATGTTCCCTCAAAAGGATTTCAGTGCTATTAGAGAAAGTCAGGGAATAAATTCTTAATTTAACTTTTTCATCTTTTCAACATCTTGAATTAACTCTAACTTTGTCAATCCCAAACCCTCCGACCGTCCACTGTCTGTCTGTCAGCTGTTGTATTAACTGTTTAACCTAAACCCAAGTTCAAACTCCAAGCTATACCTCATTTGAACCTCATTCCAAACCTGTGCTCCATCTTCATTCTTATCTGAACCATAAACCAAAGTGCTAATCCCAAACTAAACCCTTCAAGAGGTGGAAAGCACCAAAATATAAGTGTTGGTCCTCAAAAGTATAGAACCACAACAGAGTGGCGTGCATGCCCATTACACACACACACACACACACACACACACACACACACACACACACACACACACATACATAAATCTAATGTCACCTCTATTCCAGCAGCCTGTTTTGTCCCTGAGGGCTTTATCAGAGCTTTGGGGGGGCTGATTGGAGGAGACTGCTGTAATGACTGCAGGTCGTGAGGTCACAACCCTGTTATGATAACTAAACTCAGAGGTCAAAAGGCTAAACGGCAGCATGCAGCAACTGCTGATGATGCCCGATAACGACAGCAGTTATTTTAGCAGTTTAAATAAAAATTATTCATACCTGGAATTAGCTTTTTGCTCAGTTTCCATGCCAAAGACCAGCTGACCAGTCCCAGTGCGGTAACGACTGTTGTGTGATTGTTTACCCTGATATCTCCCATTAATCACACAAACCTTAAATTTACACTTGTGGTTCTAATACGAAAAGCGCAATTTTTTAACAATAAATATGTGTAGATGGTGCGAAGTATAAGCAACTAATCATATCACGTGTCTAAAAGGATTGATATTTCTTTGTGTGTTGGTGTTAGTTTGAAGTCAGAATTTGATTCCACTCTGGTCACTTTGGCGGTTGTCTGATGTTGAATTGTGTTTTGTGTATTTTTAATTTAACTTAACCGCACATTTATATCAAGGAAACTAGGTTTAATAACACAGACACTTTTCTGAATATGGTGCAGTACTGTCTCCAGAATTATCCTCTGAACTGTTACCCTAACCGCTTTTATATAAAAAAAAAGGTCATAACATAACCACCATGCAGTAATGTTGTATTCATTTTACTAAGTGTAGCTTAAAAACTACAAATACAGAAATAACGTTTGATTTGTGGGTTCTTGTGCATGTTCTTCTGAATGTAAGTGAGGTTAGACAATGACAGGAAGAAGCATCAGTGTCTTATTTAAATACTCATGGGCTCTGTCCCTTGTAAAATTATGTAACAAGACTTTTATTAGATGTGGTGAGCACCCTGAAAATACAGAATGAATATTTCTGTTAGACATCTCCTCTGACTGATATGCAAGCAGTCAAACATCCAGACAGACGGGCGGACAGGGTGGTGGTCAGACATGTATAAATCTGCCATAATGCTGATTTTCTACTTTTCCCAAAGAGGACTGCTTGCTTGGCAGAAAGGAAACAAGAATTATTCAATCAAACAGCTCTCCTTCCATATACAGATTTTACTCCAGCCGCATAAAGCTGGCTGCATAATCCTTTTATCAACCCCTCCGATGGAATACTCTTATTGGAAATACCCAGAGAGAGAAATAATATTAAGGTCATTTCTATCTCTAGTTTATTTTCTCCTTTAAAAAAAAAAAAAAAAACTCCCCTGCTTTCCGTTTTTATCTTGAGACAATAATTACTTCAGCTTCCTGGATGGAGTTCAACTGCTGATTATGGATGTTCTCTGACCACTGAGGGAATCTCTGCCCTCATCAGTAATAACAGTATGAAATTGTCCTCATTTACAAAAGAAAACCGCAGCATCTCTTAGAAAGTGTGTTTCCCACTCGACTGTAGTGAGCCTCAGTCAGACAGGTTGGCAGGAAAATGTAATGTGGGTCAGCTGGTGATGATGGCTGCTCGTACTAATATATCTAAAAGTGCTAGATATGGAAGCTGAGGGAGCTGCTGTTCTGTCCTGTCAGCGTTTTACAGCTTTATATCGTGTGTGTGTGTGTGTGTGTGTG